AGAGCAATATTCTTCAGGCATTAAAAACTTGCTCTTCAATACAGCCCAGACATGTGGGCATGGTAATTCATCAATTTGGAATCTCCCACAAATACATTTTCTCTCGAGCAGGCAGACTGTGTAATTCCTCCCACCATCGTTAACAGTATGTAAGTATTCAGTTGAGGGTACCACCTACATTTAAAAACAGAAATATAAGTTTTGAACACATTTACATGAATTAACAAATATATACTACTGAGTTAAATGGTTACTATCAACTTCAAAAATTGCAACTTCATCCAATTTCAGTTAAATTCAGCTGATTCCAGCAATTGTATGCAACTGTATTCAACTGTATTACTCTACAGTCTGCATTTGTATGCATTTGTATTCAACCTTTTTTTAGCAATTGTATTCAGGTATTTCCAATCAATTTAAACTGTATCAATCACCTGAATTCCATTGTAATCATTATCACGTGCATACAGTCTTAATAATAACATGTATTTACCTGTATTCATCTATATTATTTACTAGTTCAAGCAAATATTTATAAAAATTAACCGGTAGTTCTGCCTAAAAAGACCATGTGTACCCGTATAACTGTAAGTTAATTTTTTATGGCATTGTTGTATACAACTGAATACATTTTTTTCAACTCCAACATTTCCTGGTATTTTTTCCCAAGCGTCTTGTATGTCTGAGTAGCTTATTTACGGTTACTACAATTTCAACGACCAAACATCTTCCTAACTTCTTCGAGGAAGTCATATATTGGCAATTCCCTTACTGAAACTAGTGTTGCATTGATTGACTCGGCGATATTTGACGTCATTGTCCATCCCCTGTTAACAGGTGCATACAACGTAGCCCAATTTTCGTAACCAGCTAACTCTAAGTATTCTTTCACCCTAATATCTACCTTCTCAACCTTCTCCATCAGACTATCAAATTCAGTTTGTGTGTATGCTTTTGCCATCGAGAAGTATATCTCACTCAACTTGGCATGGCTCTTTTTGAATTTCTTGTATACGTTATTCCATAGATGCCATATGCAAGCACAATGCGGTAAATCCGGATATACTCTCGATACAGATTTAATGATGCTCTCATTTCTATCCGAAACAATGCACATGTTTTCCCTTACACCGTATACTATCTTGAATTGCTCAAAGAACCACGTCCAAGCAGCATCGTTCTCTGAATCAATAACACCGTATGCTAGTGGCAATATATGACCTGTTTAATACAATTGAATATAATTGTTTTTAAATACATGTTTTCCAATGCTTTAAATATTAACAAATTGTATTATTATTGAGGTACTCACCTGCACCATCCAACGTGCTTGCAGAAACGAATGTCCCGTTGTAGTAGGATTTTAGATGACGTCCGTCCACTACAACAATTGGTCTACAATGATCAAACCCCCTTATAAATGCATACAATGATATATACACGTACATGAATTCATTCTTTGACGATTTTTCCATTCTTATGTGAGAACCTGGATATGTGTTATCCATTGTATATTAGTATCCTGGTAATTTTTTGTATGAATCAGCCGGTTCACCTCTAAGAAAATTCATTGCCTTTTCTTTAGCCCTCCACGCCAACATGTAGCTAACATCAACACCTAGATCTGATTTCACGTCATCAATAATGTCCCTCGGAGTGTATTTCCTCTTATGGTTTGTAAGCTTTGTCCTTATAATACCACTTATAAGGCTGCTACTAGCTTGCCGCTGCTCGTACACTTTATCCTTCAGCGGACATGTATGGTTGTCATTGAATTCTCTCACCTTGAATAATTCCGATTTGTTAATGCTTGAAGCCTTAAACCTCCAATCACAATCTTCTGAAATACATATTAATGCATAGCTGGACAGAAAAGTTCATACATCAGACAACTTAACGAATCTGACATATATACTTCCTATTCATAAAGTACCAAATTGATATCTGTGTATATGTAATTTTGTATACTAACGAATTCCAATATTGTTAGATGTGATTAAATACAATAAATACAACTAAATACATTCGTATGAATAATCAAACACTTAGTAACATTATAGACATAATATGAAAATAATCATAGCCACTGTTGTATTTTTTCAATAGTAAAATACACCTGAATACATATTATTAAGAACACTAAACAAATATAAATTTTCAAAGGTGTTCATCATCTGGAGGAAACACACAACTACAACTAAATACAACAAAGTTAAACAAACATCAAACCTGACAGCATTAGACCGATCAACATGGAATTGAAACCTTTGAGCTATAGCATAATTCTTCATCACCTCTTTCAATGTAGCCTTATCCTTATACACTTGTCCAGCCATAACCTCCTTTTGATTAGTTTTTGAAATTATCAAATCCTTGTGGAGTTCGAACACTCCAATCGCTTCTCCTGAATTGGCAAGTTCTATAGCTAGTGTATAATCTGTATCAGAATCTTACATTTGAACTGCTTCGTCTATCTGTACAATGTCGCCTTGATTTAAACCATCTCCGGAGATAAGCTCTTTTTCCATAGTTGTAATGCACAGAGGATACATCCCAAATTCTTTGTACTCTTTTTTCAATTTTACATACACTCTGTAACCCATATCATTGTGTATTTCCATTGGCGTGCGATTGCCTTCAACATTGTATTGTATTTTAATGGTATTTGTGCTCAAATCTATACCAGTTGATTAGAAATTGAACCAACTAGATCATTAAAGGAAACATACTCCTTAATCAGTATTCCCTCAATGGAAAAGTCGATATAATTGCCCTCATCGTTCCACTTTCCAGAATGACGCAACAAAACTGTCAAGCTTGCCATATATATAGAAGAGTTATACCTTCTTCTGTATATAATTTGTCGCAATCGATAAGGAGGAGAAGAAAATCGCACAATATAGAAGCAAGTTGCTCTGTTTCTTCGCTTCTTTCACGTTTCTGTATTTCTGACTTTGAGAAGAATACAGATTGATGGGATAACTTTTAAGTTTGTTGAGTAAAATTAGGGAAATCAGAATTGATTTGATTTCCTTCCGTTTTTAACATCTTCGTCGACCCAGATATTGCGCAGATACATTACGTATTTAGCGCTACATACGTTTGAATACAAGTAAATACATATCAGGATTAGCTGGATTTCCTTTTTGTACGCCGCTAATTTTTGTTGTATTATTAAATACACTACCTTAAATACATTATATAATTGCATAAAAGATATCTATAGGACGTAATATAGCAAATGGTTTCTATTAATGGCTAATTAGGACTAAAAGATAGTGCTTTGTGAAAAATTCTCTTTTTAAATTCATTACATATGTAGAAAGAAAAAATTTAGACCCCAATTATTAGCATGTGAAAGAGTCGTTCTAAAATCCGAACTCATTAAGTTGAAATTTTGGCTACACGTCCCGGCTCACCAATACCTTGATGGAAATAATAGCTCTGTGCCACACCATGAGCTTCGCCCAACACTGTGGATTCACCAACCTGGAAATCACAGTGGCCGCAGAAGAGGTAATTAATTTCATTAAGAACAATCATCCACTGTATTCTATTAGTAATATATTTCATGATTGCAGGTATCCAAATAACAGTTTTTCTAATAATATCCCAACTTTGAAATTTGATTTCCAGGAAAACAAGCTAGTCTCATTCTTTAGCTTTCTTGGGAGACTTCATCACATTGATGACATAGCGACCGACACCAAGAATCAACAGAGCAACTAGGGTTATANCCAACAGAGCAACTAGGGTCATATTTATCACTTCCTTTCGCATCTTCAGCTTTGCGAAATAATCACTAGCCGACCCCAACTTGTTTGGAACTGAGACACTATTGTTATTGTTATTGTTGTTGCTGTTGTTTCCGTTATCTGGTTCAACTCTTGTTTGTTCAATGGTTCTTGAATTATTGATCTTTGGCTCATCAATTGAAGTGGTATTTTGATCCTCGTGTGGTTCACTGGCTGGATTATTAGGCAGTGGAGCGTCTCCGGCTGGGAATTCCTTATCGTTTATCGATTGATCATCTGATTTATTGCATGAACTTGTTGTATTTCCATCTTCTGAATTGCTTTTTGGAAGGCTTATAGCTTCTGTTTGTTCACTGGTTTTTGGAATAGTGTTCTTTGGTTCTTCTTTCAGTATTGGCTCTTTAGCAGGAGCATTCTGATCAGCATTATCCTGCAACTTAGTAAATTCATCTCGTGTGTTTGGTACGAAGAAAGTCATTTTCCAAGAAAATACCAATGTTTTATATGAAAAATATTTTTCGGGAAAATGTATTCTAGTTGGTGAGAAGAAAACCTTTTACAAAAGAAAATATATAATAGAAACAACAACCCAGTGGAATTTCACAAATGAGATCTAGGGAGGGTAATGTGTACGCATGTCTTACCCCTATCTTGGGAACGTAGAGAAGCTATTTCAGATAGATCCTTGGTTCAAGAAAGATTAAAAAATATACTCCATCCGTTCCAATTTATATGAACATGTTTGACTAGACACAAAGTTTAAGAAAAAAGTGAAAACTTTTGGAATTTGTGGGCATAAACAAGTCAAAAAGGGGTTTAGAGTATTTGTGTGATTATAAAAGCTTCTCATTAAGGATATAATTGGAAGTTTAAGTTAAATTGTTTCCAAATTTGGAAAAGAGTCATTCTTTTTGGAATAGACCAAAAAGGAAATAGGTTCACATAAACTGGAACAGGGGAGTGTGTGTGTATATATATATATTAAAGATTAATAACAATATTAGCGAATTGGAGAGCGATTTGATGAATTTTTTGAGTCATAAAGATTAATACGTTATTAGCAACCAAACACTAAAAAATAATTTCCTCCTAGAAAATATCTTATTGAAAAATAACTTCCATAATACGAAAAATAACACACCTCTAAAGTGGTCTTTTCCATTGTAGCTTGTTCATTGGCTGAGGCAGGCAATTTTTTAATCTTTTTATCTTCTGAAATGATCAATTTTGGATATTTAACACAAAGAATATTGCTATTTACAAATCTAGCACTAATTTTGCTTTTTTCACAATTTTCTGAAACAGGAATGTCCTTCTGAAACCTCTGCCATTTATAAACTGGCCTTTGTCCACTAATCTTTAGTATTCCTGTTTTGGACAGTTGAATCTTTACCTGTTCTTTCTTGAAACCTGTAGAATTTTAATTTCATTAGGGTATTTCAGAGTATATACTAAAAGTGAAAAGCGCAAAACTAGAGAGACATGTTGGAGCTTTATTAAGCGCAAAGCGATATTAAAGTGTAGATTTTAACGAAAAAAGCACCAATGAAAGAAAACAAATAAAAATAAAAATGTAATGCAGGAAAATTAAATTATAAACACAAACAATTAGTATTTGGACAAAAGAATGGAAAAATTATAATTAATCCATTTATATGTTGTTGTGCTCTTAAAGACAGACCATTGGTGAAGTTGCACGCGCCTTATATATTAACACGCCTATATTAAAGTGCTAGTTAAGCGAGGCGAAGCGCATAATCTTGAAAACATTATCTCCCTAAAGAAAGAATATATTTTAAGGTTGGCTATGAAAAGTATGAAATAACAGATATCCAATGTGATAATGAAATTAAGCATATATTCTCAATATTTGATCTAATCACATAAAATATTTGTGTGAGAATTTATGCTGAAAACAATCAAAGGGCAGCCCGGTGCATTAAGCTCCCGTTATGCGCGGGGTCCGGGGAAGTGACGGACCACAAGGGTTTATCATGTGCAGTCTTACCCTGCATTTCTGCAAGAGACTGTTTCTACGGCTCGAATCTGTGACCTCCTGGTCACATGACAACAATTTTACCAGGGGCGGATCTATAGCAAAGGTTACGGGTTCCCATGAACCCAGTAGCTTTTGCATAGACCCTGTATTTGTACTAAAAAATTCATTAAAAGTATAAGAATATTTAGCTTGGAACCCAGTTCGTTGGTCCAATTATCATGTAGATTAACGAGATTGTTATAAGAACTCATAAACTTAAAATTCTGGATCCGTCTCTAAATTTTACCAGTTACGATAAAACTCCCCTTCTATAAAGTTTGAATTTGGAATTTTCCTTCATTCTTTCCTTTATGAAAATATCTCATATAGACAATATAGTCAAATTTTCATTTTAGAGTCAACTATAACAATTTATCAAGAAAAGTTAATATCATTCTCCCATTCAGGAATTGCCAAGTAATATTGCACCCCATTTGTTTTTATTATAATTCTTTTCCTAGAAATAATCATTGGCAACCTAGCGTAGTTGGTTTCGGCCTATTGTTACAATTCAACTTTTAGGCATGTTAGTGTCTAAAGTTCCAAGATTTACTTCTTGTTCCTAAAATAAAATATACATTGAGTTTTGTCATGTTGTCATCCTATAGTATATGTACATAAGGTTACTTTTAGAAAAATATTTTATATAAAGTAGAATTTTTTTGACGAAGCAGCATCAGATGACACCCTTTGGTTTAAAAGCGTTATCGCTACTGCTACCGGACAAAAAAAAGAGAACAAGAACTCGCCTGTAAGATTAAAGAGAAGAGTGTCATAGTCATTTTCATGAACCATCATTGATGTTGGCAAAAAATCTTCATATTCTTGAGCAGCTGCAACTCTCTTTATATCCATTTTCTATGTTTTTTTTTTCTTGCAGATTTTTGTAATATTTCCTTTTATGGCTTTTCTTCTTGTAAAGGATGAAAGTTTGTAGGTTATATATATACACACACAAGAAAATTCTAAAAAAAGTATTTTTTTTAGATGCTTTCTGTGTTAACTTTCGATTTAAATATTCCTTAAACATAATTCCATGCCTTTCTTTTGGTCAACTTTTGACTACGTATTCTTTCTGCATGGGAAAGAGATATAGATTCCTTTAAAACATTATTAAGAATATATTCAATTGTTACCAGAGAAATTGGAATAATTCAATGTGAACTGCATGTCTCGTTTCTGCATTTTATTCTAATTCATTTTTTTAAAAAGTTAGCTCGTTTTTTTTTTGTTTAATATGAGTTGCACATCCAAAACCGGAGCTAACATTTGAACTTTATGAATTCTGAACTTGCATCGAAATCATAATTTATTTTAGTTGATTACTAGATTTGCAGTTATTCCTTTTTCACATGCAAGAGACTTACTGTTAAATATTTATATATATTTAATAAATTTCTTAATACAAATACATAATCTTAGCAAAAGTTGTTGAATTCACCTGAACTCATACATAATATTGTAGCTTCGCCCTTGGTTGATGTGTTATTATACCTAATAATGGTCGATTAATCAAGTGAGGAGTATTTATAAGTTGTAACTTGTAAAGTAGAGTAGAGGACTTGTTAGCTAGGCCTAAGTTCTAAGCTAATTAGGGTGTTGACAACATCAATTTTTATATTAATTACTGAAAAATAGGAATTAGCGACGAATACATTCTGTAGCTACACAAAAAAATTCGTCGCTAATCCTATTTAGCTATAGATTAGGGTCAAATTGTTAATTAATTTTGTTCACTATAAACGATTTAGCAATAGATTAACGATAAAGTTCATAGCTAATTCTGATTTTAAATTTTGCAGTATACATCCTATAGCTTTATTGATTGATTGATTGTCCTAAAACTTTAAACTCTCTAATTGGTAAAGAAAACCTTTTAGTACTAGTTTTTTTAAGAGTTAATATTACAGTTGGTCATTTGACTTTCACTTTATTGTATTTATTTCGTATTAAACTATTTTTTGTATAAGAAATTACTTAACTTTGTATTTTTTTTTTTTGGTGATGGAAACAATTATTTGACTTTGCCTAAGTGGGTGTTTGGACATAAGAATTGTAAAATTCCAAAAAAAAAAGTGAAAAAAATTTCAAGTGAAAATGATATTTGAAAATTAGAGTTGTATTTGGACATGAATACAATTTTGGGTTTTTTTTGGAAGTTTTATGAGTAATCTGAGTAAAAATTTTGAAAAACAGTTTTTTGGAGTTTTTCAAATTTTTAAAAAATTTTAAAATACATTTTCAAGTGAAAATTGAAAATTTTATGACCAAACACTGATTTCGAAAATAATGTGAAATTTTTTCGGAAAAAGGGGCTCTAAGTATCATTAAAAGTCACTATGAGGAAGCAAATGAGACAATTCCTATAATATTCAAACAAAGTTGAGTGTTTTTTCAGAAAAAAAAGTTTATATTTAGAATATTTAAATAAAATTAAATGATTTTTTTATTATACAAAATAATTTAACGACTTTAATATGGTAAATAAGAATTACAAGTCAAGTGATCATCCTTGAAATTACCGATCTTCTTTAATTCTTTTGCTAAATAAAAAGAAGTAGGGAAAGAGATAAAATTGTGGGAAAAAAATGTATATAGTCTTAGAACTTGGCTTTCCTTTCCCCTTACACTCGGTTTGGATCATTATTTCCCATTGTTTTATAATGTATTATATTGTATTGTTTCGTATTATACCGTATCGTTTTATGAATATAATGTTTGGATAGATTGTATTATTTGATATTGTTAAATAATATTTTGTTGTTTGATTTGACAGTATCGTACTGTACTGTAACTGATAAATTTACTAAAATACCCTCAATTATTTAAATATTAAATTTATAACAATATATGCATAAAAATAATTTTAAAAAATAAAACAGAAGAAAGCAAAACACCTTAAGAAAGCAGAACATAAGACCGAGACAGAAGAAGGTAAAACAAAAGAGCACAGCTAATTAGAATTGACTTAAAAAACAAATTAGGAGAAAAAAAAATAGAAGGCAGCAAAACACCTTTAACATTGGTCTGGAAAAAAATAAAGTAGGTTATAAATTGGAGATTTGGAGTTAAAATAGAAAAAATAAAAATAAAGGGTAAAATAGAATTGTTGAATAATAAGTTAGGGCATAATTAGAAAGCAGAAAACAATCCTACCACACCAAATCGATTGTTTAAAAAAAGGATTTTTTTATTGTCCTGAAACAATAAATTTAATAATATAATACAATAAATTTTAATAAAACAATCAAAACAAAAACAAAGTATTATTTTGAGATAACAATACAATACCGTACAACGAGAAGCAACCATCCAAACAAGCTGTTTCCGTACTTAGTCGGTGCTTTCGCTGCTTACTTTGTCAGATTCTCTTAAATAAATGGCCTTTCCTCAGATTCTTCTGCATAGCAGCCAACAAAAAAAAGAAAAAAAAAGAGGGGTTTGGGTGGGTGGTATGGAGAGTTTAATAATTGGCTTATAATTACATGAAATTTAAAGGGGTTGTTTGAGCCAAGAATCTTTTGGAGAGTAAAGAATGGAGAAGACACTGAAAAATGCAAAATCTTGAAAATCCAATTGAAGTCAAGATTGGTTAGTTGTGCAATTTTTCAGCACAAAAGAACACAAAAAGTCAAGAATTTTAAGTCTGAAATCTCATTTTTAGTTCTCTTCTGAGCTTGTTTGGAGAGTGAAAATTGGAGGAGACACTGAAAAATAAAAAATCTTGAACACCCAATTGAAGTCAAGATTGGTTACTGTACACAAATCAAAAATTTGAACTTCAACACCTCATTTTTAGTTCTCTGTAGAGTGAAAAATGGGGGAGACAGTGAAAAATGGGATCTTGGTATTTGCTGTAAATGGGCAAAGATTTGAGCTTCCTAGTGTTGACCCTTCAACTACTTTGCTTGAGTTCTTGCGCACTAAGACTTGCTTCAAAAGTCCCAAGCTTGGCTGTGGTGAAGGTCATACTCCTTCCTCTCCCCTTATCTGTATATGCGTAGAGGCGAATTCATGATTTAAATTTGATGACGTCAATCTATTTTCTTAGCGAAGGGAAAACTTAGATAAAGTTGTTGCCACGTGACCTGGAGGTCACGGGTTCAAGCCGTGGAAACAGCCTCTCGTAGTAATACAGGGTAAGGCTGCGTGCAATGGACCCTTATGCTCCGGCCTTTCCCCGAAACCCCGCATAGCGGGTGCTTAGTGCACCAGGTTGCCCTTTAATCTATATTCTTAGCATTGAACTCGTTGAATTTTGAAATTATTGGTTCAAAAGCTAATATTTGTTGTAATTTCAAAGGTTTTATACATGTAAATATGTGAATAATGGATTCCATTGGGCTATGTGAAGTTGTGCTCTATATGTTCATTTTGGTGCAATTGCAAAAGAAATGCTAAAAGCTTTGAACTTTTTATATATTGATATTTTTGTTGTGATAGGTTGGCTCCTTGTTCATCATTTTTTGTGCTTTTTCCTTGAAACTGGGTATTTCTATATGTGCATATATATGGAATTTACCTGATAGCACCCATAACGTCCAATGCCAAAGTCACTGAATGATTAAGTCGCCAATCCCTGAACTATGTATTGTGTACTTAGCAGTGTTCATAGGACAATTGTCACTGCTCGTAGTCTTGTATGTAGCTCCCTTCCCCTTTTTGCGAGTGTGAAGTAGTGTTGAACCAAAATACCCAACAAGCATTAGCTCTTCCTGAACAGGAGGTGATCCAGGAGAATGAAGTTCTCATTCTGTACATGCAAATACAACTCTCAGTTACTGTTATTAAGCACTTTTGCTGTCCTGAGGTCGATAAGAAGTTTTAAGTATGAATACTTTACTCCTTGCTCTATAGAGATAGTTATGTACATGCAAATGCTAGCTAAGTTATTGCTTTTCTGTTGGGCTGACTTCATACATTCTGTTACTTATAGAAAATTGCGCAGTTCGATACTTTGTTATGCTGAATTCTGGTTCTTCAATTTGGTAAGTTTAGACTATAAAATCTTTTATTCTTTAGAAGTCTTTGAAGGTGATTTTCAGCTCTTCAATCTTTTTATGATGTTTGTATAGATAATTGAGAACTTTAGTTTGAAAAGATCTCTTCAATTCCTATAAATGGTTGCAGGCGGCTGTGGAGCTTGTGTTGTTCTTCTCTCAAAGTATGATCCGACGCTTAAACGGGTTGAAGATTTTAGTGTGAGTTCATGCCTTACGCTTCTTTGCAGTTTAAATGGTTGCTCAATTACTACAAGTGAAGGCCTTGGAAACACCAAGGATGGTTACCACTCGATTCATGAACGGTTTGCGGGTTTTCATGCTTCTCAATGTGGATATTGCACTCCCGGAATTTGTATGTCCTTTTACTCGGCTCTTGTCAATGCCGATAAAGCAAACCACACAGATTCTCCTCCAGGATTCTCTAAGTTGACTGCATTTGAAGCTGAAAAGGCCATAGCAGGGAACCTTTGTCGCTGTACTGGATACCGACCCATTGCTGATGCGTGCAAGACATTTGCAGCCAATGTTGACATAGAGGATTTGGGGCTCAATTCTTTTTGGAAAAAGGAAGATTCTAGGGATATAAAAGTGAGTAAGTTACCTCCCTATGATCCAAGTAAGAATTTAACTACATTTCCTCAATTCTTGAAAAGTGAATTCGCCACATGTTTGGACTCCAGAAGGTATCCGTGGTACTCTCCGGTTTCTGTCGACGAGCTTCAATGTTTGTTGAACTCCAATTTGGCTGAAAATGATGCAAGCATTAAGCTGGTTTCTGGTAACACAGGCACAGGATATTACAAGGAAACCCAGCGATATGACCGATATATTGATCTGAGACATATATCTGAACTTTCGATCATTGAATTAGATCACAC